GAGATTTTTCTGGCGGGGTTCACCTTTGTCAGTGGTGTAGGAAGGAGGGCCTGGCAAGGGACAACGTATAGTCATTCGAATGATATAAAAAAAACAATTGATGACCCGTGTCCGTATTCGAAATGACGTTGAGTTACGGTGGCTTAGTGGGTAGGACGTTTGCTCGGTAACTTCATTAAAGTTCATCAGGATTTTTCTTGTGGGGATCACCCTTTTCAGTGGTGTAGGACGGGGGGCCTGGCAACGGACAGCGTATAGTTGTTCGAATGGGATACAAAAAACGAGGTTCAGTGTCCGGAATCCAAATGAAGTGGAAGCTACGGTGGCTCTATGAATAGGACGTTTGCCAGCTAACTTCATCAAAGTTCATCGGGATTTTTCTGGCGGGGTTCACCCTTGTCAGTGGTATAGGATGGGGGACCTGACAAGGGACAACGTGTAGTCGTTCGGATGGGATAAAAAAACCGGAGGTCCCGTGTCCGGATTCGAAATGAAGTGTTCAACTTCACCAAAGTTCATCGGGATTTTTCTGGCAGGGTTCACCGTTGTCAGTGGTGTAGAACGAAGGACCTCACAAGGGACAACGGATAGTCGTTCGAATGGGACAAGAAACTGAGGCCATGGGTACACAATGGCGTGGAGGATCTAGTGGTTTGGCGCGTACGAGTAAAATCACAAGGTCTGTCATTGATTCAAGTGCCCCGGCCCCTACCCCCATGAGACCGAGTAAGCGCCCACCCCTCCCCGACCAAGTTCCAGATTTCATATTATCTTCTTCTTTTTTTTCACACACTAAAACGTCGCACACTAGACTAAGTGAGCACGCAGAAAAGGGCACGGGCATCAAAAAGTATTCAAACTAGCTTTTTATTTCACAGAATCAAGGGATGAATAAACTATTAAACTGCAATATTTCAGAAGCCTCCTATGTTGTTATGTCGACATATATTACCATAGACATACCAAAAATATGGGAAAATCGTGTTATGTTAGGCTCATTGCGCACATTATAATTTCTAAACTAGCGTTCGTGGCTCCAAGATGGTTATATGTTCGAATTAACAGATACATAAGTTATGAACATGTTGCATTATCGTATTACTAGCAGGATACCCGGTTTCGCTCGCCCTGGGACCAAATTCACCCAGGGCCCAATTTCGCCTAGGGCCAAAATTCGCCCGTGGCCCAAATTCGATGGTCTAAAACATTCACGGGGTCATGCTTTTTAATTTGATCCCAGATACGTGGGGATGGAGCGTGGCGACAAAGCGTGATTCGCCTGGGGCCCGAATCTTTAAATCAATAATAGCATTATATTGTATTAATTAAATTATTAATATCTTTGGCTAATTATTAGATTCACACATTGTATAGAAGTCATGTCTCATATGCACTAAAAAATGATTGATAGTTGATACATAAAAAGAGTTATAATTTGGTAAACATTAGTTGGTTCTGTGGGAATGAGAATATCGTGTTTAACACGTGATTGGAAATTACTAATTGCATAATTTAGCTTGAGTAACCAATCACTATAATTAATTATGTCATCTTTGACCAATTAGATAATTAAAGGTCCAAAAACCCAAAGCTACAAGACCATCATAATTCTGGCCATTCGTCAGACAACAGTTGGATTCTAGAAGAAGAAGATCTCTATCAGCAGACTCGCCCCAGCGAGTCTGGCTGGATGGGGTTTGAGAGAATGACTTTATTATTGTAACCTACTTTGCTTATATCTATGCACCCAGCTTTGATATATAAAATGTAAAAACGAACTGTTGCATTGTTCTTCCTGGTAATACAAACGTCTTAACTGGGATATATAAAAAGAAGTAAATACACAACGTGAAGGGGGGGGGGGGGCAAACAAGTGAAAATACTAGACGATCATAAGGCTATTAAGATGTTAGTAAAAAAAAGATGCATGGGTTATACGCCGGATGTGGCGATCGGCTTTAGGTATAGTTCCGCTTTCCACATCTGACAAACATCCACATGGCGATGCTGGTTAATTTGATACCACATAATAATGTGGGGCTGGAGCGCAACGACAAAGCGTGATAGGCCAACATACACCCTTTGATTTAATTTATATAGATATCACCGCAAAGTTCTCACCAAACGGACACGGGACAAACTTTTTGGGTGGAAAAATTAAAGGATACGTCCACGATTTGGGGATTGAATGTTCAAAGGGTACGTCCACGTTGCATCAAAAACCACCTAAATAAGCCTAGGTGGCAAAAAAGTTATTTATTTCACAGAATTAAGGCATAAATAACTACTAGACTGCACAATTTCAGAAGCTTTCTATGTTGAATTTTCGATATACATTACCGTAAACATATCAATAATATCAGGCTCACTGCACATACAATTACTTCTAAACTATAGTTTTGATGGCTCGACGATGTTTATATCGTCATAGACCGAAGGCTCAGTGCGGGGGAGTGTACATCAATTAGGCACAAAACCAGACCCAACTTTCCTATAGTAAAATTTTGCGTAAAAATTAGCAGTAGGAGGAACCCGGAGAAAACCCACGAGGTTGGTCAGACGACCCTTCACCTTGTCACGTTCAAGAGGGCAAATGAAACCCGGCAACTTGAATCAATGACAGACCTTGCGATTTTACGTGTACGCATTAAACCACTAGACCCTCCCCCTACGTCAATATGTACACCAGTTCCTCAGTTTTTTGTCCCATCAGAATGGCTGTCCGTTATCCATTGCCAGACTCTCCATCCTACACCACTGACAAGGTTGAACCCCGCCAGAAAAATCCCGATGAACTTTAAGTAAGTGAGCAAACGCCCTACTCACTGAGTCACCGTATATAGCTCCCACTTCATTTCAATTCCGGACACTGAACCTCTATATGTTTTGTTTTTTTTATCCCATTCGATCAACTATACGTTGTCCGTTGCCAGGCCCTCTGTCCTACACCACTGACAAGGTTGAACCCCTACCAGAAAAATCCCGATGAAGTTACCGAGCAAACGCCCTACCCACTGCGCCACCATGCCTCCCACTGACAAAGTGGAACCAGGCATGAAAAATCCCGATGAACGTTGATAAAGTTAGAGAGCAAAGAAGGATTCGACTGAAGATTTAAAATCGAGTACAGAATACAATACTTTCCCTGCAAGAACAGATTAAAATTGGTTAAGACTATTAAACTTTCTAGAACCCCAAACATTTCTGTCTATTTGAATCTATGTTCAAATATAAATGCTGATACGGTAGTCAGTGAACATGCGCATACATTGCACTTCCGAGGCGAGAACGCGGAGGAGCGAAAGGTTGAGATTGTGACGAAGCGAGGGAGCGAGAAATCGAGAAATACTCAAAGGCGAGAAAGCGAAAAGTCGAGGATGTTCAAAGGCGATGATAACGCGAGGGGGCGAGAAGTCGAGTGCGAGAACGCGAGAATTTTCAAAGGCGAGGGGGCGAGAAGTCGAGGGACGAGGGAGCAAGAAGTCGAGGTCAAAATAATCTCGTTTCTTCTTGTTCTCGCACTCTCGCACACTCTCCCATTAAGAAATGGCCGCAATAGTCTTCCATAATAAGATTTACCGCCGTGTTAAAATCACGTTAAAGAAGACCGCGGTTGAAAACATATTCCATATTGTAAAAAAAACGTTTCGCTCTAAACCAAATTAAAGATCTATTTTAAATAACTACGAAACACATGGGCCTCAAAGAGAATGAAAGTTAGGGTATCGAAGGAAATTATGTAGAGATATTTACTTGACTAGTAGGCCTATATTTCTTTTGCAAATCTAAGGAAAACTGTAATTCTTTATAGTTTGAGTGTAGTTAAAGTCGTAGTCAGGGAGATGTGGAATAAGATTAAGTAAGACTACCCCTAATCGGATTTGAAACCGATTGTGTATAACAAGGTTTTAGATGTGTAGACTGCTTTCGCATTAGATAAATTTTAAATTTTAAATGAATGATAATATATCAACATACCGGTATCTTATAAAATTTATCTATACACCCATACATGGGCGTCTTACAATATAAAGACCATAATAAAATATTTATATACCAACCGCAATACGTAGCCTACACTATTCAATTTCTTTTTTTTAATTTTGTGGATTAGGGCGCAGTTTGAAGATACATTAGCTAAGAGTTGTATAAAGAGTTGACCATTCTTGCTATAATAATTCAAAAATAGATGATAGCCTATAAAAAGAAAATGTTGAAAATTTCAGTCAAATTACTTTGTTTTGAACGGAATTGTCACTGTTGGAAGTTTGGACTAGAAATAGGCATCAATTGTGTCTGCACCGTCTATGAGAATTGGCGATCGTTTGATTGACAGACGATACCTCCATCCACATATTCTCGATTATCAAGTAACATGCTCAATGGCAATGGTAGCCTCATTTGGCAGGCCTTTCATCACCAGTTTCCGGTGGTGACATCAGCGACTAATCGTAAACGTTAGCTTGGTCCGCCATTTATTGATTTAATTTTAAATGGACGACTGTTTAAATCCAAATTGTATCCAAGGCATCCGTGGGTCTACAATGTTGATTTTGAGCTTATCGTGTAAATAAAGGTCTAATTAATAATTTCTATAACATCTGAAGCCTAAATAAAGACTTGCAATAGGCAGATTTAGCTCTTGCGTAATGTATGTTTAACTACATTTCATGAATAATTTTATTGCATCTATTTTTTTCCAGTTTTAACAAACTTATTGCGACGTTTTATTATGACTAGGCGGGCAAATAATCCAGCGCCTTAACCCCTGAGCCACCATGTAACTGTAAACGCGAGTATGGTTCTTTGCTTGCACACTGTCGTGATAGATTACGATATGAAATGTAGGACTGAATTACGGTAGGATTAAAATGCTTTGCTTATATGGGTAGGAAGGATTTATTCAATTAAACTAATAATTTGACTTTCATAGCAACAATTCCCGTAATATTTGGCCTTCTGAGTGCTGATACTATTATTATATAACCATTCCATTTAATGGTACCAAAAATTGCACCCTAACCCGACAGTTACGTCAGGCGATGCGCTGTTTTATTAATGGCGTCAGCAGTCATGTCCTCACTTAACGTTCCTCGGACATGCTCTCAACCCCAAGACAAAGACGGTTGGTGATACAGGTGCTTTCTTAACCCAATTCTAGGAAATTAGCTTAATGCAATGGGCATTCTCATTTGCATATTACACTTTTAATTGAATAACTTTAATTATAGTTATAATCAAAATTTTAATATGTGTATTTCCAGTCAAAAACAAACATAAAATTATCATTTTATTACTCATAAATGTTTATTTAGCTATGATTATGTTTTGAAAATTACGAAACGTTTAAAGAATAAAGGGATATAACTCTATTTAAGTACTGCTTCAAATTTGATAATAGCTTTTATCGGAAGACGAAACAAAGAGAGACCTGTCTTTAAAAATGTATATCTGGAAACCGTTCAAAATTATCTCATACATATGACTTTCTTTATGATTATAATTACATGTAGTGATGACTATCCATAACCAAAACTTAAGGCAAATAAAAATTGCATGCACCTGTAGACCTCTATTTCGTTTAATGTACAGACTAAATTTGGAACAGCCATATTAAAGTTTGTGACATGGCATATGGTCTACAGACTACTTCGTAACTGTAACATCTGTTGAACTAAAAAATACATATCATTACACATGTAATTGGAAACATGATGTATTACCACTATGGCAGATAACACATACAATATAAGGAGTCGGAAACAGAAAATGGTTCCACATATAACCCATCCGATGACAGAAGAAAATAGTGTCGAGTTGTCAACAAACTTAGCTCAGTCCGACACCGCCCCCTCTAAAGAAGATAACAGTAAAAAGCCCAATAAGTCGAAGAATGGACGTGGGGCTCTTAAAAAATCAGAAACGTTTAGGAATGGAAATCCAAATCAAATTCCTGTGAAAGATTACTTACATTGGAGTGCTAAAAAACAGAGGAATAAAGATGATCAACAACGGCCTTTATTAGCAGACGACGATTCAGATGGGTCGAGTGAAAATGAAATCACAGAACACACCGAGGAAGAAATTCATGGGACAGAAGATTCATTGATTGTCAAACAAGATGAAAGTGCCTTGAGTATAACTCTACAAGTATCCCTTCCATTTATTATTGCTGGCTTTGGTACAGTTGGTGCTGGAATGGTTTTAGATATTGTTCAACATTGGAGAGTTTTTAAAGAAGTTTCAGAAGTGTTCATACTTGTACCTGCTTTACTTGGACTAAAAGGAAATTTAGAAATGACTCTCGCTTCAAGACTTTCAACACAAGCCAACCTAGGTAATATGGATACAAGAAAAGAACAGTGGAAAATGATAGGAGGAAACATGGCCCTTGTTCAAGCGCAGGCAATAGTTGTCGGATTTTTAGCATCTCTTGTAGCAATGGTAATGGGTTGGATTCCTGATGGACACTTTGATATTCATCATGGACTACTCTTATGTGCAAGCAGTATATTTACAGCCTCCATAGCAAGTTTAGCGTTGGGATCTGTAATGGTGCTAGTTGTTTTGCTGTCAAAAAAGTGCAATATCAACCCTGATAATGTTGCGACACCAATAGCGGCTAGTCTTGGTGATCTTATTACCTTATCACTACTCTCATGGGTTAGCGTTTTACTGTATAAATCACTGGGTAAAGAAGTATGGTTAGCACCTCTTATCATTGTCATATTTTTACTTCTAACACCATTATGGGTGTACATTTCAGTCAAAAATAAATATGTGAATGATGTGATATATTCCGGTTGGGTTCCTGTTTTGTCAGCTATGGTGATCAGTAGTGTTGGTGGTCTTATATTAGATTTTACAGTAGCAAACTATCATGGAATTGCAGTTTTCCAGCCAGTAATTAATGGTGTAGGAGGTAATTTGGTTGCTGTTCAAGCCAGTAGAATTTCAACCTTCCTACATCAGAATAGTGTGCCTGGTGTTCTTCCTGGTGGACATACAAAAGCGTGTATAAATCCAATAAAAGTGTTCTTTGGAAAATCTTGCAATGCTCGAGCAGCACGGGTTCTTATATGTCTTGTCATTCCTGGACAACTTTTGTTTATTTATACAATATCTTATATGAAAGCTGGTCATACATCTATCACACTTATATTTAATGTTACCTATCTTTCTGCTGCTCTGTTACAAGTTGCTATTTTATTATTTATTGCGGACTGGATGGTGCATTACACATGGTTGAAAGGAGAGGATCCTGATAATGTGGCCATCCCGTATTTAACAGCTATTGGAGATTTATTGGGAACAGGATTCTTAGCACTGGCTTTCTGTTTCCTGTATTATATAGGAGATCGTGATGCTGATGTTGGAGAATAAATTATTAATTATGTGATTGAATCATTGATCATATTTTGTGCTAAATTCAAGTCAAACATCTGTCCAAACAATTTTAATAATTATTTTATCAATAAGATGTATATATTGTATATGTATTTACATAATTATTAAATAATAAGTAAAATCTCAAAATACATTTGAAAATTTTATTTGTATACCGATATATAAAGAATTTTTTTAGTTACCATTATGTTAAATTAGAATCAAATCTAAATAAAGGATTTAAGTATAAAAGTTGATTATTTGTGATTTAGTTTCATAATATAATACAATGCAGTAGATATATAGATTGGAGGAACCCGCCACATATATATATATATATATATATATATATATATATATATATATATTTATTAGTAATACGATAAAATTCCATTCCAATTCCCCCCCCCCCCCTCCCTGCCGCACCTTCCCTTGAAACAACGTATTTGATGATCTCACTCTTTCTGTTTCATAACATCCACTTACCAAATTAGAACACAATTTATAATCATTTCATTTCACTTAAAAATGACTTGTGACAGATGTGAAAATTATCAGGCCACATTTACTAACAAATATTAAATATTCCAATACACCCAGGAATTTACATATTTATCACTGAAATTATGTATCTTAGTACATCCAGGCATGACACTGTATGAAAGGATACATAATATATTATATTATTGATTTAACTCGCAAAGATAGACAATTAAACCAATATTAAATCATTTCAAACTGCATTTCAAATAATGTTAATTTTACTCTGTTCAGTGCGTCCGAGGTCAATTAGGTTCATTCTTCCGTCACAAAGTTATGGTATCAAACATTTGATATAAATCAGATGATGAGAGTATCTCAGATATCTCAAAAGTATAAAATATGCTCGACTTCACTTTAAAGATTTGTTATTATAATTGATATACGCACACGAGAGGTGCGGGACGGGGGATCTGGCAACTACCAGGGTTTAGCCTTTTGGATGGGTCGAGAAACCGAGGCCCCGTGTACACCTTGGCGTGCACGTAAAAGGAGCATTAGCAAAATTTCCCCATATTGTTCCACGCTTTTCGGAGAAAATAGTTGACTAATTAAAATGGGTTCGTCCGTCTGACAAGTCTGCCAATCACAGTTTTTGGAATACAGTAATTCTTCTTCTTATTTAGGTAGAATTTTCTAACTTGGTGTATGCCGTTTTATTTGTCGAGATTTTGGAACACAATAATGAATGAAATGGTGTTTAACACCTTACTTTTCTGCAACAACTGGGATAATGAAACGGGCATTATTTAACGTCCGCTTCCACCGAAGTGACATCGCCTACAATTTACGTGTTATATATACTCTTTAAAAAAATGTAGGGGATATTGAAATGCAAATACATATGCAGGTTGTGGTATGATAAATAGTCATGGACACTTGACATGCTTTGAGAGTATGTTCACAGATGAAGAACTTATCGCCCCAACAGAACTACTGAGCTGCATGTGCGACACACAATAGCGCCATAAACGTGGGAGGGGTTCATTGTCAAATTTGACACTTTAAGGAAGGGTTGATGAAAACTGCCGCTTGCTGGTTTATCCTATCCATGTTGAATGTCTGAGGATTGGTGGGGCAATTACTCATTATTAAGACAAAAATTAAAAACGTCCATTTTCACTTTTGACATTGTATCTCCTTTGCGAGTGAAATGGGGCCGTCAGATAAGCCGTCCATATGATCTGTTTATGTTCATGTGTAGGCGATTGACCTGTTATTAACATACACTGGTTACCTCTATAAAAACAGCAGTGCATTTCCGCTGTTTTGTATTGTTTCTAATTATCCCCTACTTTTTTTGAAGAGTATATTATTTGCAAAGTGGCTGGCGTTTTCATGCTAAATCAATGAAATAAAGATTCAGAAAAAAACCAATGAAATATTTTAACTACGTCTGTAAGTGTATAAAATTTGATTAAGAAACAATATAATTCTATTACAACTGATGAATTTTCAGTTGACTCACATTAAATAATATTTTAAAATCTAGACAAAAAACATATTCTTAAAAAACTCTAATCGCTAGGGTTCATCCTGTTGTGACCCCATTTTTCCAGCCAAATTGAATAAAATCTTTTAAATCCGACCACGGGGTGGGGTGGTGTGAGGTGGGGTGGGATCGCAGAACGTTGTTTGTAGATATCGATAGGTTTCGTCCTCTAATGACCGACCACGAGCATGCTCAGGGTCGTAACTAGCTCAGAGCAACAAAGGGGGCGGGAAGTGTTCCCAGGGGTGCTGTAAAATTGACGGACAATGTATATCTATTTTTTTTTTTTTTTAACGAAATTTTTTCACAGGGCCTGAGCATGCTTCACATTTTAATTTGAAAAGAATCCATACCCCCCCCCCCCCAAAAAAAAAAAAACCAAACAATTTTATCAAAACGTCAGGTTTATTTGGTAATTTTTCATTTTTTAGAAAAGAAAATGTTGGTGTTCAGTATTGCGTCGCCAGTGTGGTAACTTTGAACGATACATAAAATTCAATCCAAAATGATTAAAATTCATCAAAATAATTATAGAAATAACATTTCAACAACAAAAAATTTAAATAAGAATATGTTTTGGCATAAGAATATTATTTTTTTTTTCAATTTTTAAGAAATAAAATTGGGTGTTCAATCTTGCTTTGCCAGTGGGGTTACTTTCAACGGTTCATAAAATTGCATTCGATAAATTAATGTAAATTTAATAAATTCATCAAAATAAAACTAAATATTCATTCCTTATGGATGATCAAATGCAAGAAACATAACAAATATTGTGAATAAATGTTCAAAGTTGCCCCATTTTACTTTTAAAATGGTCTAGTATTAGTATTTTGTGATAAAATTTTCATTTTTATTCAAAGCCATAAAATACATGTTTGAAATTTAACAAATATGTTTTATCTACATATTAATATTGTGAAACATGTGGAATTATAGATTACGATTCAACAGAGGTACTATTCGATAACATGATAATTTTATATCTGGGGATATTGTTCGTTTCCTTGTGAATTAAAGGGATATAACTCTTTAGAGATTACCAACACCACCAAAGAAACACTTAACAATATTATAAAAAAGCACCAACCTTTATTGACCTTCGGATGACTTTGCTGCCTTGGACGTATGTTCTGTTGTCGGGTAACCGACCTTAGACTTTCTGATATTGTGAAACATGCGGAATTAAAGGTTACGATTACCAACACCACCAAAGATACACCCGACGTTCTCCTTTCAAGTAAATCGAATAAAAGTTTCATTCGGGGAGTCTGAAAGAATATAGGAGACAATTGGCAAGGACAACCACAAACTCCTATATCCTGGGGCTAAATCAAGAACCTGGTTTAAGTAATCATATTTATATAGCCCTCATGGTGGGCAGACCTGTTTTTGAATATATTATAATCACTGGACCAACTTAGCTAAGATAGATCCTCACTTATTCCAGGTTTAACTAATTTTAGTCAACACATAAGCTTTTAATTCTCGGTGGCTAAATATACATTGAACTATCAAGCACATAAAAATTTCGAGTTCGATTGCCCTTTTTGTCCGCCAACAACCAACGGTCCACAATTTGTCGATTCTAATACTAGCTGGCGTCATTCCAGTTTCATTTTTGTTTGATTATTATAATTGTCTAATCGCTAGAAGGAATCACGTAAATTGTTCAAACTCAATAGACTTCTTTGTATCTTTAATTCGAATAATTGCATATAATAAGGTTGACAAGATTCTGCAAAGTTAACAAGACCCTTAACTCTTGAAGTAATTAGGGTAACTGTTTCACTAATTTGACAAATGTCAAAGCGATCTTATCACAGAGGACTAATTAAAATGGGCTCGTTCGTCGGGTAGTCTGTCCGTCACAGCTTTTACAATACAAGCTGTTCAAACTTAGTGTAGCCTACTATTTGATTTGTCAAGAATTTGGAACACGGTCAGTGAAATGGACGGGTCCAGGAATTTTTGTAGGAGGGGGTTTGCCAGGTTCCTGAGATTATGTATCTTTTTTTTCTTTCCCTCCGGCCTTAAATTTTCTGAGAAATACATATGGCCCCTTATCGTCATATTGGCGCATTAATATAATTGGGTAACCAGAGGTTACTTTGACAGAACACAGAAACTGGGATTTTACATAAAAACATACTGTATACATGATGTACCTACTACCCAGTATGACGTCAATTTTTATTATGAATTAATACGATCACATTGTCATTCAATTTCATTGATAGTCTCGGTCACCCAAAACCTCCTAGTCTTCAACGTACGGAGAGAAATTTTACAATAAAGAAAATTAAGAGTGTTGGATATTGAACTGGCAATGCAATCAAACGGATTTTTTGAAATGGCATTCTTAAATTAATTTCATGGGCGTCAACATTTTGTTTTAGGACTAGTTACCTCCCTTAGATTTTATCTCCGATAATGTGAAAGACCGAATAATCTAGCCAATGACCTATTATTCTCAAATGTTGACAACGCATCCAGACTAATATTCGTAGAATATTATTCTGGATAATAGAGGCTGTTTCATTGATGCAACGCATTAATTGCGATATCAGATATTATGTCTATATCATTATCTCGCACACTGAATGCCTATCCCATCCCACAATCTGTTGATAAAGCACACGACCGTGATACTTTTCCCATAAAAAGTGTTGTTTTACCATTTTTTTAAAGTAGAAATTGACACAAATGGGTCGCAACGCATAATATAATGTAATTATATATTAACTGATATACATTCAATCGTTTTTAATCAATTATGTTCGGTGAAATACGCGAAGAGTTCAAATTCAATGACCGTTTTTGGTGTCTGGTTATTTCAGTCTACACCGGTAGCATTCTCCTTGGGGATAAGGTTAGCCTCGTTCATCGAGTCGCGTCCTTACAAATGGCGCTCGAAAGCATTCTCGCACGCGATTCGTGAGCCAATTTTCACGGTGAGATAACAACATCAATGTTGATTTAAATTGACCAATAAGTCTTGTTTGCAATGTCTAAGACTGTGGATGATATTGAAATAAAGACCTGGCTACTTAAATGAAACGGGCGTGATCCATACCGTGTGCTATGAGGAGAATTTTGACCGGACAGCGGCGCTACTGTCTATTCTTGTATTGCATTCCAACTGCATATAAATTTCAAACCGATCCGATTAAAAACTTTTATTATT